TAAATACTCAATTACTCTCTCTCTCTCTCTCTCTCTCTCTCTCTCTCTCTCACTTAAGATCATCTTTCATATACTAAGCCCATGGGAGGCTATGGTTCCTTCATCTTTTTTTTTTTGAAAAAAAATAAGGTAAGGAGACCATAGCCTCCAATGGTCTCTTCACCTTATGCCTAATGCTCCAATGGACAACTTTGTGCACCTCAAACCCTGATTTTTTTGGTTAAATATAAAGGCTGTTCCCCTTTGTTAAAGAGACTTGAAGACTTTTCAGCTGCCTACATCTGGGTATAATTTGGTAATTTTCATAATGGATCATGGAATGTTTTGAGGAATCTCAACATTAAACTCATTAAACATTATATGAAGCTTGAGATCTGGAATTAGTTTTATCAAAAAATTCGTTGAGTTCTTTGTTGATTGCTTCCTTTAAAACAAACTCAAATAATGGGCAGATGTTAAATGAAGGTAAACAGATAAATTCAATTTTTTCTTAGTGATGAGATCTATATGCATATGAATATCCTTTATATGTTGATTAATGTTTCAGAACAAAGATCTAAGTCTATTATCAATACAGCATCATTTTCGGGAACGTATCTCTCTTACATACCACCTCAATCCTTTTCAATTGAAACATAGTGATGGCATCATCTTACTGTATCCTCTTTCTTATTTTGGAATATTATCATACTCCAAGAATCACACTTTTGGATTCTTTTACATGGGACAACAGAAAGCTTTTGTTCTTTTTGCACTCAATGCTGCCTACATGGAGCTTTATGTTTCTTGCAATACCTTTTCTTGACTAAGTACCACACCTTAAGAATAAATCCCACTCTAGCTAGCTTTATGATTCATAATATTCTAGTGTTCATCATAGTAATTTGAAAAAAAAAAAGGTTTTCAGCATGAAAATTCATAATTTTCTTTAGGAAGAAATTTGTTAAAGTATCAAAAGTTTCTTTAAGAACAAATATAGTCATGGTAAATATATTAGAAGTATCATTAGCAATAGATAAGTTGGGCATTACAGTTTTGTTGTTGCTTAAAATATTTATCAGCTACAGGAACACATTAGCAGTTCTGATTAAAAATATTCATATCCTTCAGCCACAGTGATCAAGGATAAATCAGTAACAAATAAGGTGATCTAGTGGAGATGTCATTAGCAATTAGCAATATGCCTTAGAAGAGGTTGTCAGAGTGCATATTTCTTAAAATTGTGAGGCAGAGAAGAAACATGAATCATAATTGGCTCTGGTACATGTGAAAAAAAATGAAAGGTAACATGCAGAAATAAAAGATTTGTGTAGTTGGAGGGGACAAATTTCACTGGAAAGAATCCTTTCTTAGTTGTTTTGACTTTTCTACAGCTCCATCAAGAAGAAACAGATCTTGTCCTTCCTCTCACATTGAAGTAGCTTCTCATCCAAACTTACACTACCTTCGCAAGACTGCGAGTAGGAAGAGATGTGTTATAGTTTCATGACAATAAGAGAATGCACAATTAGGAGGTCTAGGTCATGTCCTCTTGATTAAATTGCCTTCTGTGATTAATCATCTTTTTGGTAAGCATTCTGTAGCTTATTGTCAGTCGTGCAAAGGCTTTTATCTTCTCCTAATCTTCACCCTTTTTTGCCTGACCAAACGCTCTGATCATCAACCTCTTCTTGCTAATAAAAAATTAGAACAATAAGATGTATGGTTCCATTGTAACAAGATGAACTGACCCAAAATATATTGGAAATGTTTCTTATTGCTCTCAGTGATGTGATTATTGTACTATATTGGACATACCTACTAATATGCTGGTGCTAACGATCTCATATCTCTGCTGTATCCTCTATATTCAGTACTACCAGCAAGAGGCATCAAAACTACATCAGCAAATCAATAACTTACAGAGCACAAACAGGTAGTACTGCTAACAAAAGCCTATAATATTTCTTTACCAGTTGGTGCATGTAAAGAGGAATATACTTGCTTATTAGGAACTTGATGGGTGAATCTTTGAACTCCATGAGCTTAAGGGACCTGAAGCAGCTTGAGACTCGATTGGAGAAGGGCATAAACAAAATAAGAACTAAAAAGGCAAACCTCTTTAAGCTTTGTGCCAACTTATTTGCTATCAGGATCATGTGCTTTTACTATCTGCATGGATTATTTAAGAAGATGCTTATTCCTCACATTTGATTTTTTCAGAATGAGTTGTTGTTTGCTGAGACTGAGTACATGCAGAAAAGGGTAATGAGCATCAGTTCTTACTCCACTGATGGTATTTCTTGTCTGGTCACTTCTGATAACCTACCCATACACACTTTCTTGTTCTTAGGAGATGGAGCTGCAGAATGACAATATGTATCTGAGGAACAAGGTCCTCTTTCTAGTCTCTCTCTTACATTGTGATTTCAACAGGCTGAAGAGGTGCCTATGTGGAACAGGTAGCTGAAAATGAAAGAGTGCAACAACAGATGGACATGCTGCCTTCAACGGCGACGACAACTGAATACGAGGTTATGCCTTCTTATGATTCAAGGAACTTTCTGCAAGTGAATATAATGCAGCCTAATCAACATTACACTCACCAGCAGAGGACAGCCCTCCAGCTAGGTAGGGTATGACCACCTTTACACATTTCTACCTTCCTTGATACTTTTGGGATCACATAAAATGAGTTCATGTCAGTATTGGAGGCATAATCTATATATCCATTTTGTCATTCATGTAGATGAGATACAATGAATCTATGAAGATACTTCTGCAGATGCAGAGCTTTGGTGATGGAGAGAAATCTAGTACAAGATCAGCTGAGAAATATATGAGAAAATATGATGATGATTTGAGCCTTTTCTCTAAAAATATGGCTAGAATACTGAACATATGCGTTTTCCACTCTGTTGGACAATTAACTCCAGTTATTGTCACTTATGTTGTCCTACATATAAGACTGTTTTATTTATACTTTGATATGGTGGTGTGCAAAATGAGAGTTCCTGATTTCTAGACCATGCTTGAATTCGAGCAAATAAGAAGTGGAGGAAAAGATGAAAGTTCTCGAAATTCCTATTAGAAGTCAATTAATTATCAACAAATATTACTATCTACACTTTGCATCGAGAAACTATCTACATGAATTATCTACCTATCATGGATGGTGGTCATCACCTGCCTCTCTTCCCCAAGACTTCTTGCCTCCGTTCTCAGGTCGATTGCCCTATGAGGAGGTGTACGCCGCCGTGGTGAGGAGCCACCTCATGGGGCTGAATCCACTTGCAGGGGGTGAAGAGGGGTGACCAGGTCTCCATTCAACTGCAGAACCACGAAGGAAACTTGTTGAGCTACAAGGCATGCTGCCTTATACACTAAACAAAGGAGGGTAAGGATTCTTATCATGAAGGATGCTTGGGATCATCTTGGAACTAAGGAAACTGTGGTATGGTGGTGTGACTTAGTTTGGTTGACCAAATTAACTAGAATGTTAACGACATCTTGATCATGTGAGTATGAAACTCCAAACTACAGAATGCTATGCTTTTAAACGTCATAGTCTAAACTACTCTGCTTTTCTACTTGACAACTTGTTCTAATCATTCCAGTAAATGTCATCCTAATACAACACTCCTACTTTTGCTGGGCCTTGGACACAAAGTTGCCATTGTAGCCTGCAAAGATTTCTTCCACAAATCTTTACTTAGTCTTATGCATATTACAAGTCGAAATGTGGGTGCCTAAGATTTATGTTAGGATGACCAAACAGCAAAACTGGAGTTAACAGCTTATTTTCATGATGAGAAGCAGAAGACATTCTTCAATTTAGCATAAATCAATATTGAACTTTTGACATTGATGCAATAACAAGGTCTCTAAATCAGATTTGTTGGGAAAATGGGATGAATTGCAGAAACATATATGAGTTGCTTAGAATCCAGGAGAATTTTATCATATTCTAATAGAAGAAAATAAGTAATCAGAGTTATTTACTTGTAAATGTATATCTGTAGGTATGCTTGTATTTCTTTAAACCTGTAGGTTTTGTATTCTTACATAAATGAATTGATGACAGATTAGATCATTAAAGGTTGGAACTGTAGGGTTAAGATAACCAGAACAGATGTGGTTGGTATCTAAGGAGCATGAAATCATAAGCACTAAATCTTTCCATGAGATTATATCATGTTGCACAAGGAAGCATGACTGCATGTCCATTAGGAAGCTCTATTTAAAAAATAGCCTTTCTGAAAACCATCTTACAATCTCCTTTTGCAATTCTCACAAGTTATGAAATATCAGAATGAGGACTTAAAAACCTATGATTGATCTTATAAATCACTATAATTTCAGGTGCAGAGTGCACAGACATGTTGGAACAACATTGTTCAGACAGATTTCATTCACCAAATCAGACTATCACATTTAACCAAATTTGACCATCTTCAAATGCAATATCTGAGAAGTATTATTATAAGAATATCCCTTTATCTTAACATCCAGTGAAACTCAAAAGTATTTCTACAGGTAATCTTACTCAGCAGTTGAACTCAGGAGTCACATACTGGTGGAGCTCAAAATGAATAAACAAACACAATAAATATTTTTTTGGAACCGAAAGAAAATAAATTTGATCAAATTCAAGATTGCATGAAGCAAATAAAACATTTACCACTGAGGTAAAATTAGGGCTAGGTAAAATTTCCAATAAACAAACAGGCTAATTGGCCGTTACAAGCTAATAGATACAACCGTAAATTGCATAATGAAGTCAAAGCAACAAGCATATACAAAGGCATCTACTTACTAGAACAAATATCTTAATTAGGTGCTGAGAACAAATAACAGGATTGTACTAAAAATCAAATATATTTTTCATGTTAGTATACCTCAATCATTCAGCATTTCAGCATAAAAAAAGATTGAAAAGCATCCCTGTTTGACAAGAATGCAGGAAACCATAAAATTGAATAAGTCATACCAGGAAATGAAATTATCTTTTGCAAAGTGAGTTGCAAAAAAATGAGAGGAACAAACTTGATCACTGTTAATAACTTTCTCTCAACATAACCAAACTCCAATGTGACACTGGCACCATCAGTTCCCAACATGCCAAAGCTGACTATAAAAGATACCTGCAGTGAAGGTAAAAGAAAAAGAACATTATGAACATTGGAAAATACTAAACCTGCTTAAAAATATTTTCGGTTGCTTCCATAAAGGACTTAAAAGTTTTGCTTGCATGGTACTCAAAACATTGAGTAAAAATAGTGCTGCTTTGAGAGGAAAACAATACAAGTGCAGAATAAATAAAACCAATTCCACTTCATTGGGGGATGAGCAGGAAAAAGAGCAACATACTGGGCAATTCCATCAACCATTGGAGTTCATAAACCACCAACTTTTCCATTGAGTTTGATCAAAGTAAATCTTCATTTTTTTACCTCCAAGGAGTAAAAAACAATAACATGCCAATAACAAATTTCAGTTAGGTTACAGAAAATATTTTCTCATATTTGACTGCACAACAGAAAACTTGGCCAACTTTCTAGGGCCTCAAAAATTTCAAGCCTTCGACCAGCATGTCCCTAATATTCAATAGGTCGGCACTACACTCGGTCAACATTCACACCATTGGAACAACCATCCACAGTATACAGGTCTTTTTTTATCCAAAATTATGAAATCAGAGGCATCAGCAAATAAAATAGAAAGGCATAAACAAATAAAATAGTAACAAAAAGCATCTAATCGATAAGATACGCAATCTCATCAAGTATTCATTTTAATCATGTACAGTTTTTAATGTGCAATATTCTCCTGCCCATAATATGAAGTACCCCACATTTTTATTACTATGGCAATTAAAAACACCTGTTTCACTTTTAAACTCAGGTAACTGATTCATCTAATGACTTCAATTAACTTTCTGATCACTGCTAAATATGACAGCAAAGCCAAGTGTCAAATTATTATGCTAAATATGACAGCAAAGCCTCTCTCCACAGTATTATCTATTACTCCGTTGACAAAGGAGAGTGTGAGAGATTTCATGAAGGTAGCATTTCTCATTAGATCCTTAATGTTGCATTTTGGAGAGGGATAGTGACTTAAGGAACAGATGAATAGAACGAGGTTTTCCTGTCCATGTATTGGAGATGATAAATGATAACTCACGCCATTTGAAGTTTTCTGTTTCAGTTCTCTGAGTAATAGCAGTAAGACAATGCTTGATGTTAATGATGAAAACTTTTTCTATCAAATTGGGAACTCCAAATTGTGATGCTTCTGCTCATGAGAAGCTGAGCTATGGTTAAAGTGGAGTTGCAAAGATTGAACATACCAACCAAAAAGTCAAACAATAGTCATGTCCAAGTGGGCTCTTTGTCAGAACTAACAGAGTCAGGGCTATTGAGATGGTCAGTTTCTCGTGTTGTGCTTGCTCCTTCAGACTTATTACGGACATGCAGTGCCCCTCTGTCTTCTGATTCTTGTCTCCTGCTACAGATAGTTTGCTCAAAACATAGAGAAAAAGGGATTGCAAACTATACATATACAGTACCTAGTAAGTGATGTGGATAATTCAATTCAAAAAGTTGACATATGCTACTGCAACCTACCAAAAGGAAACACTGTTACTTCTTTTCACTAAATAATGATGAAATAGAACAAGCCAATTTTTTATTGTTTGTTCTGAGATTCGTACACCTTTATGAGTAAAGGTCTGTGACACTGTTTCCTTGACATGTTCTTACAATTTCCAGTCAAAATAATCTCAGGTTAATTTCGGTTGGTGTTATTCAGTATGAGTTCCATCATTTTGACAATAAATAAAATTCCTGCCCTCCCGTGTTCAACTTCATGATCATTCCAAACATCATCCTTCAAAAGTTGCTGATCAAAACCACCTCGGTGTTCTAACATTTTAACAAGCACCTTGTGCTCCTAGCCAGAGAGGTTGAGACAAAACATGGAAGAAGACCTCATTTGCAATGTTACGTTTCTGCAATCCGCACAATCTCGATTTCAGTTTCATTCTCCTAGTCTTTCAGATCGTTCCTTTGTGCATCGACATCGGTGTGGACCAACTAAAACACTCAAAAAGGAGCCGTCTTTCTCACATTGCAATAAAAAAAATTCGTGCATTTATATCGAAATTAATGTCGCGTCTACTAAATCAATCATTAGTGAACACAGAAACCACGATCCGAAGCTTTTGTGCGCTTCAATAATCAAAGAAACTAATAAAGATCCAATCTTTCACTAGTGACAAGGAAGAGGAGAGAATGCAATCGCGCACCGAAGCGAGGGCGTGGCTCGATCCAGGTGAAGCAGTAAGCAGAGTACCCGAGGTCGATCTCCTTCGCGGCGTGTCCACCGTGATCATGGTGTCGGCCGCCGACCAGCGATCGAAACCTAATCTCCCACCATCAGAAGGGTGACGACGCGAAGTTTGGGTGCTCTCGGATGTGAAGAAAGGGGAGAATGGGAATGACGGCGTTACCTCATCGCGTCCAGAAAACACACGAAAACGATATCTTGTGATCTTTTTCAGCTCATCTCGTGCTTCTGTACTCTGATGCTTCCAATGCATTCTCCAATTCTGTGCTTCCAGAGACAATGTCAAAAAGAGATTTTTTTTGTACTTCTCCACCTTGATTGCTAAATTGTGATGGTAAATGCAAGCTACAGAGGACAAGTTGCAGATTAATTTACATTGCTATCTATCTATGAAATAGGAGCTTCGTACAAGAGTTTTGACAAGAAACAAACATCCAATTTGTCAGCGTCATGCAAGCAATCGCATTCACAGTATCAGGGAAGACGCCCCTGTAGATTCACCGTATCCAAGGGAAACACGGAATGGTACACGGAAGAGCAAATCCACATGCCGTTTTCCTACGGTAGGAATCTATTATCGCACAAAGGGATCTTGTTGAAGTACTAAAGCTGACCGCCCATACCTGCACTCCTTCCCTGGCCCCTACAGCATTAATGCACATTCTCTCCTTTCCTTATCCCTGCGACCTCCGCATTTAACAGGACTTTGTCGTCGTCTCCATGTGAATCAATCACGGCTGGGGCGACGATTTCTTGCCGTCGCTCTACTGAGTATGTGTATCCAATGCCGAAGCAAGCGGTCCTCAAATTCTCAAGCTGGTTGTGCTCATCAACAGCAGGTGTGCAGGTCATTTGCAATCTTGTGATTCAAGTTTCCACCACAAGCTGCATGAACAGGGACACCATGGACTTCTTGCGAGCGAGATCATGGGAGGTGCACTGGTGGCACTGTCATCGTTTTTTTTTGTCTTCCTGATGGTCCATTGTTAGATTTGATGGACAAAAGGAATGAGTCATACGAAGAGTTGGATCAAGGAAAAGATTTGGGTTCTCTAGTAACTTGGCTTCACTGGGATACTACTCGATTCACCGAAGCTGCTACCTTTTTCTTCTCTCGGTCCCCATGAGGTCAAATCACCATCAAAGAAAACGACCGAGGAAGACAGCCATACCCTCCCCTCCGCAAGCATTAAACAAACATACAAGTCCTGATCATGTAATAGCGAAAACACTTACCTAAGATAAAAAGGACATATCACTATGGGATCCTTCTTGGGGAGGATGGCTCTCGACCTCTTTCAATCTCTGAAGGACTGCTATGACAATTAACAATACTCTTACTCATGACAAGGGAAGGAATCAGAAACTCCTGAGTGCACAAAAGTCATGAGAGGCCAAATGAGCTCCGTCTCAGCTAGGTGGCCCATATCTAAATGCCTAGGTGCAGAAAAGGAGAAATCAAGCTAGCTAAATTGGCCCACCTTTGTTGATGAAAAGAATAATGATAGGTGGGGGCACTAAGGAAGGTGAAGAAGGTGATGAAGTGGTAAAGTGAAGGGAAGGGGAAGCTGGGCGAGAGGAGTGGATTACTGGGAAGGGTTCATCAGTATTTATCAATCAAGGGTGAGGTGTGGGTCACTCGCATTTGGTAGTGATAGCAGAGTGTCGCTTTGGCACGTTTGCGCCCTCCCCAGCTGCTCTTCCTCTACTAAAACCCCCCTCCCTCTTCTGTCTCTCCCACCCATCTCTCTCTTCCTCTCCGAGTCTTCGTTCTGGTGATCTCAAGTGCTGTAGTTTCATGCTGGCTCTTGTCTGCTTCTTTCTGCAGTTGATTTCGATACTTGAAGCCACTTTCTTTATCACTGGAGATTAGAATTTTCTCCGACAATTTTACCATTGATGGAAGATGGCATATCTATATATCTCTTCTGCTCTTCTCCTGAAAGCTTTGGGATCATGTGTCGAAGCCGCCAATGTCAGTATGCAGTTGCTCTCTTCTTCGTGTGAAATGTTACGTGCTGCTTAACGAGATTGGCGATCAGCTAAGTTTTCTTGTTTGTGGTAAATGGTTATTCCATTGTTGATGGAGCGTCTCCTCTGTTCTTAGCTTCTTCTGTGCCGCCGCTTAGAAACACCGGTGTCTGGACACTGTAATACCACGGAGATGAGCGCAGGGAGTTCATAAAAAGCTGGCTTTTTTGGATGCATAGCCTCAGAGTGGGGCAAAGTGCCAGAGCAAACAAAAAAGATAGCTTTTTTGGCGTCAATGGCGGATCCTCCGAACTCTTCTGAGCCGGAAAGCAGCGCCAATTCCATGTCTTCCCTCTCCTCGACGTCCTCCTCTTCCTCCCCTTCTATTTCGGAAGCTCTTAAAGACCGAATAAAGCAGACTGCGGCAGCATCGAGGAAGGGGGCCGGTGGTGCCGGCGGCGCCGCCATCGAGAAGCGGCCGCGGGACCGGAGCAAGCACCCGGTCTACCGCGGCGTCCGGATGCGGAACTGGGGAAAGTGGGTGTCGGAGATCCGGGAGCCGCGCAAGAAGTCGCGTATCTGGCTGGGGACGTTCCCGACGCCGGAGATGGCGGCGCGTGCCCACGACGTGGCGGCGCTCAGCATCAAGGGCGCCGCCGCGGTGCTCAACTTCCCGGAGCTCGCCAGTTCCCTCCCCCGCCCCGCCACCCTCTCTCCCCGCGACGTGCAAGCGGCCGCCGCCAAGGCCGCCGCGATGGACCCCGGCGCTCGGTCCGATCACCCGGCGTCGACCCCGGCCGACTCCGACGAGCTCGGGGAGATCGTCGAGCTGCCGCGGCTGGACGACGGTTGCTGCTTCCTCGACTCGGCCGATTCCGGGGGCGAGTTCCTGTACGAAGACCCGGTCGACGCGTGGGCGTTCCCGCTGCCGTGGGTGGAGAACGCAGATCCTCTGTGGGCCGCGTCGGACACTGTTGTTCCCACCACCATCTTCGAGGCTCTTCCATGGGACTAAGCATCAAGCTTAATGAAGTCTTCTTCTTCTTCGTCCTCTAATGCTTACTGATCTCTCTGCTTTCTCGTGCCCATTAATTTTCATCAGGGCTTGATGGCTCTTCTTCTGTATCATGGCTTTCTTTCCTCTCTCTCTCTCTCTCTCTCTCTCTCTCTCTCCACATATATTCTTCTTTTATTGTCCGCCATTAATGTTAGCAAATTCCAGCCAATGTTGTCTGGAATTCTGGGAGAAGTGTTGGAGAAGAAGGGGATGAAGCATTCCATTTGCGTGAATATAGTAACTCTGTGCTGTTTGTGTTTGTGACCATGGCATGGAATTCTCCTGTTCTTTCTTCCTTTTGAACTCCTTCAGCTCAGCCTCAGCTTGCTCGTTGCTGCCAGGAAAAGAAAAGAGAGTGATGGAGATTAAACATCAGAATGAGTCAACTGGCACATCCTGCACAAGGTGTTGCATCCTTTTGGACCACCTCTCTCCTACTGCTGCTGCTGCTTCCCTTATTCTCTGCTGTCAAGTGTCAACAGACCAAAGAATCCAACATTCCACTAGGAATGATTGAATCAATCTGCAAAGCATAATCAATTACTTGGCGAATTATATGTTCAAAAGATCTCAATAACAGTAGATACTGAATGGTTTCACTCTCATTTACTGCTAAGAACCCATTGAAATGGCATCTACAGATCTGTTTCATCTGCAGAAAGGAGAAGACTTAACGCCTCACTGGGTCACTCCATGTGCTGTGATACACTAATTGTTGCTCCCTTCGTACTTGATATCACAATCAGTGAGCGTAAGCAGATGGGAACCCCGTTTGTCCTTCAGGTACCACAAGTACTGTCAATGGAAGTACATATATAGCACCAAATCTTTGGCGGATTACTTCAAGATCTTATGATGTATCGTAACTTTTAGCTCCTTCCCTTCCCCATTTTATCCCTTTTTATCCAAAAAACAAGCTTACAATAACCTTTCAATTTCTTCCCGAGTTGTGGTTCCTCAGGAATGCTTTTCCACAAACACCTTGTCGAGCGTTCGATCAAACACCCACCACCTTCGAACAGTCAACTTATCGTCCCAGAAGGGATCCCAAAACTGTGAATAAACCGCTATTACGTGACCTTCTTCTTCCTGCCTAAACACGTTAAGGACATGAAAAGCCACCTTTTGGGAGCTCGGGAATAAACCAAACAGTAGGCCATCATAACAGCGACGGCTCGCTGTCCGACATGGAAAACTTTGCCATGGTTATGGGGAGTAAAACGACATGAGCAGGGGTAGGAGACGGCCTGGTGTCTGCAACGTAACAGCACATTCTCCTGACGCCGTGGCACATCCTCGTCCAAGAAGAAGAAGAAGAAGAAGAAGGTGTAAGGAATGCTGTTTGCTGCTTGGACTTGGAATCCTTTGTGCAGATGAAGCACGCGTAAGCGGACTTGTCCTCTTGTCAGCAGCATCTTCTTCTTCATTCCTCTCTTGGCAGTGATGTTGAGATCTATCCCAGCCACTGTCAATGTGATCATACATACATACATACATATAAATATATATATGGTCCAATCAGACATCAATACAAACAGATATGAAAAATTAGCTCATGATTTTTCAGCTCCTTTTTCATGAAATTATTATTCAGTCAATGGGATTGGGGGCAAGAAATAGACGGGTCCAATTGACCAAGGCCACATCCATAGATTTGAAATGTAGATTTAGATATCTATCTATCTTGGGTATGGCTGATTAGAGTGCAGTCCCCCCCCCCCCTCCCTCTCTTGTACTGTGGTGGAACCACTACAAATCATTGTTCAAGTGCCAAAATAAAATTGATTGGTGGAAGATTTTTTTTGATACACATCTATTGCATAGGACATCATTACAACAAATTTTATGTGCATTTAATCTTAATAGAATTGACACCAAAACTATGTAATGATAATTATCGCATGAGTTAGGTAGAGAACATATATGTTTATTATATATTCACCAATAGGAGAGAAAATACATATATAATGGTTTCATGCATGCCCTTCAACTACTCTAAATTAATATGGTTAATTCGAGGTCAATAACCATATTGAACCGATCATTCTATACCCACAAAAATCATGGAATCTGCACATATAAATAATGGAATATTATAAGATTGATCATAGAGAAGTTTGGACATAAAACTAATTTTGTATAGTATAGTGTACTTTGGAACCCAACTAATTAACATATTAATTACACATATATATAATTGTCCTGTCAAATCCACACTTAATTTGTTATTGAAAGCATCAAATGGTCACTTCGACTAAATTCCTCTTGTCCACTTTGATGCCTTCTAAGATCTAATATTATAATCATATGCCATCAATATTAGAGAGAACATTCATGTGTTTCTTTTGAAGCATCAGTCCATGTACGTATTCGTATAGTAAGATGTATAAGAACACAAGATTATCTTGATAATTTATTATGCCTTCTAATTTTGGAATTAACATGTGATTAGACTACTTCATTCTTATGATATCTCATTCGTGTCAGCCTAATGCTATTAGCACTTAATTAATTGTGGAGTTATTAGAGCAGAATTATACACATGGTGGTTGAGATATTTCAAGATGTGAAGAAGGACCTACATACAACTACATCATTACTAGTAGAAATAAATATAAGGAGACATGTAGCATCCACATAAAAGTTGAGGGTGGAGGGTACAAATTATAAGTGCAATGTTCTCCCTTGACTTTACCATCAGAATGATAAAGAGTTGGACATGATAATGTGGTGGTTGGGAGCATGATTTATGATGAGGGGCTACTGTCTTGTTCCTACATTTTTTAGTATATGTAAAGATTATTTTTATTGAAGGAAAGACATTGCACACATGTACACACATATTGATAGGGCTATATGTCTGACTATAGGGAAAAATAATAATCAGAATCAAATGTCAACATGCTACATTGACATATAGTTCCTTGGAGACCACTAATTTTGACTAATAATGTTCCCTTTTGGGCATATATGATTTCTTTGAGATGGTACATCCATATTTTGATAAAAGACTTGCTAAGGAAGTCAAAAAAATTGAGTTACTAATGGTTAATTTAGCAGTTTATTCTGATTGATTCAACCATGTTAATATGAATTTATACAACTGTTTTAAGAAATGAATTGTAAGCAATTGTTTTGGTACTACTTTTTGAAATTTGTAGTAAGATAGATGTTAAATACAATGTGTTTTTGTACATCAAATGGTGAGATATTATATTGGTGACTTAATCAAACAATAACAAGCTGGCCATAGTGTCCCCATTTTATTTGAAATTGGATCTGTTGATTTTTTAATCGTATATTTTATTTAGCAAAATATCACTAATGAAACCATAAGACGCGACATGAATAATTCATATGATGGGAATAATCAATCATATAACTCATCATTATTCATTAAAATAAAATGATGTCCCGTTGAACAGACAACGAATCGATATTCATGATTGGAATTCCGACTTAATAGTATTGCGATGCCGATTTGGTCAACAAGCAGAAGAATGAGCTTTAATCTACAAAAACAATCAGTAAAAAAGGTAGTAATGATTGAGTCTAATTACAGTGATAGATTACACCATTCCTAAGGGATATATGTGAGTATATGTGTGTTTGTGTTTGTACACTATATATCACATTCAAAAGCCATACTTCAATCTCTCACAGACATGCCTATTGTCCATTTCTAGTACCTTAGCTCTCATGTCACAAGCTATCAACATGCCAAGCCAAATTGGCATCTGTTAGGACCATAATGCAGGAATCCAATGATGAGATGCTGCCACAAAATAGAAAATAAATAATACTTGATCAAATAAATGTGGAGCTCACTCAGTTAAGAGAGAAGAAAAAACAAAGTGTACTCCTCGAGTGCTTTCTTAGTCATTATTTTCATTTCTTTGAGTACGTCTACGACACATTGTTATGGTACATTTTTACTCGTATATCAGTAAAAGAAGTTGCTTATAAATGCTCCATATTTTTGTTTCACCTTCTGACTTCATGATTGCTTCCATATCACTTGCAAGGCAGATGGGACAAACATATACCGTTGTCACACAGCTCGACAACACGTCCATTAATTCGTAGGCATGACTTGTAGTTGGGAATCTGCTAGTGATCATTGTATGCAACATCTGCGGAGGAGAGCTCTACATCCCATGATGTAGGGAAACCCTACAACCTCAGTTCATGACAGGCTCTCATTTGTCTGCTTTCTTCAGGAAACCACGCTTTCCTTCGTCCCTGTGCAGCTTCCAGAGTCGCTCGGCTTCAAGTTACTGCTTCGGAATGGCTTTATCCGAAGAAAAGCTTTGCTGATCATTACATGTTAACGTACTACAGCAATTCATCTTTCGTTCATCGGATGGACATGATGATGATGATGCGGCGATTGTCTGGCAAGAGTCGAGTGACAGATCTAGAAGAGAGAGGTGACAGCCAACTCTACTCCCACAGGCTAAACAATGGCAGGCTCCACAAGCAGAAAAGAAGGGGGAAGGAAACATAGAGGCATCTGTTTGAGTGTGATTGCCATCCACAGCTGTATGCATCAGCAGGATCCATCTTCCACCCAGCATCCACCTCACCGGAGCTACCAAAGTGGCTGGTGATGCTTATACTTCATTTTTGTGGAGCCTTCATGCTCCCTTCTCCACGCAGAGAGACAGAAACCCTACAAAGATCTCCAAGATTTTGCCTGGGTGATTGGACAAAGTAGGATAATGACACTTCACCTTATAGAAATTCGCGATCGGAAAATGCAGAAAAAATGACACTTTATCTTCTAAAATACTAGCTGATTGGCACCACATATAGATCAGGTTTTGTGGACCGGGAAAAGAATAGACTGGTGATCAGAGAAGATTAGCTTGTGATCATGGTGTTATGACTCACATTAGCAATACAAAAGCATGGATTGTGGGTGTCACACCACCTCACTCCACTGTCGAGTGACGAGTTGATGCCGTCCCAATAGTTCTGCCATCACCAGAGCGTCGCCGTCTGATGGAAAGCCGCCGGGGGACATCGGTTGTAGCTTCGAAAGCGACTGTCGGCACAAGCGCTGCCTGACGCGTGTATCGTCATGTGGGGCATTGACTGGGCCACCAGTCAATATTGCGTTGCCCCATCGGGCAAAAGTCAACCTTTTCAAGATTTGCGGCTGTAGGAAGATTTTGTCCGACCAACGCTGCCTCTGCATGAATGGAAACAGACGTCTAGCGTCCTCGCACGCCGTCGCAGTTCCGAGAAGACGATCCGTCGATTCAGACTGAGAGCTGGGTCGACCTGATTAGAACAGGCCTTTCATTGGGGCCGCACTTTTCTGCACACAGTGGAGGACAGGGAGGGGGGGGGGGGATTTGACCTCTTCCATCAGACTGCACGATGGCTCTTGATCTGAAACGCAGAGATCATTTTGACTATTATATTTTGTAGTGGGTTGCAGTGATGATACAGAAGAACGGGGAGCATAGCTAGAACAGGAAAGTCTTTCTTCTTTGGTTGCTCAGGCATTGTCTTCTTCGCAAGAAAGATTCTTAATCATTGGCTTGAGAGGTTTGCCGATCAAGCAACGCGGGTTGCTACGCTCCCCACTTCCCCAAATGACAACCCAGTATAATGATTCGTGATCATCTGCAGCGTCACATGATATCACGTAGGACACCACATCGTTGTCAGCCCGATCTCATGATAGTGAAACCAAAACCATCATATCACCTTCGCAGCCCTGACACCTCTAATTCATCATCAAGTTCATCCCTCTCTCTCTATTTATATGTAAAGTTCTTCTACCTAGTTCTTGACATTTGTACGCATATTGTGTCAGTTCCCTCTCTCTCTCTCTCTCTCTCTCTCTCTATGCAAACTTCTGCTGAGAATAGCATGGAATTCTTCGCCACATACTGCTGCATATTCCTTTGTTATAGGCATGCAGAAATACATATAATTATACATTATGAACTATTTGCGATATCATATTTTTAGGTTGCTCAAGATCACACAAGTCCATGGATCAATTGGTTGTTCAAAAAGGAATCAAAGCCAAATCAATATGGCATCAATTCCTTGGCCATCTTGGGTTTTAATAAGAAAAAAAAATGATGATGATGATGATTTGATGGGTAACTATATGTGCAACGCAAGTAGGCGACAAGAGTGGCCCCAGTCACCAATTAAAGTTCTAAGTTCATACTAAATTGTATCGAGTGAAAGAATTGAATACCTACCTTATCTTTATGTGGTTTTTTTATTAGAAAAGGTACAAGAATTTTCATATCTGGTACTTCAAATTATTATACTTCCATGTACCAAACACAAGAACAACATAAAAAAACACAGAAGAACATCTCAAGTATATCAAATTCAATAATGATTAACTTGGTACACTTTGGTTCGATGGGTCATCGATCAAGCCTCGTAAACAAAATTTGATGGCAAAGGCCTATTGATCATGTCAAGTATTTGTGCTTGAGAAGTTGATGCGGGATCTTGGGCTGATTGGTTGTGATGGCAACAACTTTCACCTAATTATTGTCATGTTAATCATATTTGGGAGAAAATTTTCTCACATTGGGATACATGAGCAAATAGACTATTAAAAGGAAAAAAAAAAGAGAGAGAAACAATAGGACAATAGATAACTTTGCAACTCTTGGATAGACCAGGAGAGTATAATAAACAGGTACTACTACCTAAAGCTATATGGGTGTTGTAGAGTTACTTCAATGTATAAAGTAGCAAAAGCTCATAAAAATCACTGGAGTAGCTCTTCTGGATGAAGAAGTAACAAATGTGAAGTAAGAAAGTAAATTACAGCAAATGTATCGTGCGCTACAAGTAGGAGGCAAGCTATAGAATGTCTATGACTAATCCTTATTGTATCAGAACTTGCGTGAACCGTTCATAAAAGATAAATGACCATTATCCCATCAGAGGGACAAAGATGGATGCAAACTTCACCTAATGCTGCAAGATCTTTTATCGAGGCACCGAAAGACTCAGCTCTGTAGGAAAATAAGAGAATATATCAGCCCTTTCTTGCTAAAGGAATGAAAGCAAGAAAAAATGAATTGACTCCAATGGAGGGACACAGCCGGAAGCAAACTTCACCTAATGCTGCAAGATCTTTTATCGAGGCACCGAAAGACCCAGCTCTGTCGAAAAATAAGAGAATATATCAGCTCTTTCTTGCTAAAGGGATGAATGCAAGAAAAAATGAATTATGAAAGACGAGTGGCCACATCTGAATAGTCCAGCTGAAGAAAAGAATCAGCACAGTTACAAAGAAGGCCCAGGAAAAACATGTTATGCTATGTTAATAGACAAAAGTTATGCCCACGCCCACGACACCCCTGGGTCCGGTGAGGATGCAGAGGCAGTGGCGGAAGTAGCGGCAGTGCAGAGTGGGAGGCAGCAGTGGGTCCAATTGAGGCAGGAGTAAAACAGTCTTTTCACATGGCCACACTCTAAAGAAAATTCTCAAACTCAAGGGCTTTTTCTAGGAATTCACCATTAATTTGTTATTTTTTGTTTTTATTAAACTGTTAACATATTATTAACCAATTTTAGTTTTTATTTTTTAAAATCTGTGTTCTTTTTACTGCATCTGGTTAAATTGCTATAATAATTTGAATAAACTGTAAAATATAAAAATTTGAATAATATATCAAGATTATGTTTCTTCCTAGTACACACACACACACACACACACGTGTGTGTGTGTGTGCGCGAGCGCGCACACATGTCCTCGCCGTGTCCATGTCTTAATTTAAAAAAAAATGACGTAATGATGTATCGCCATATCCGTGTCCCGAGTGCCTGTGCTTCTTAGCTTTTAGGTTCTTAAGCAATTTAACATGCAGACTTATTAAACATAGCAGCATCTACATGGTAGCATGTCCAACTCTAAGATCAGGAAGGCAATTTATCTCGGTCACAAATGGGCATATATCCACTTCTCTCTCTCCCTCCTTACTGCACTGGGACTTGATAGATCACCAATATATTCCTATTACTAGAGCAATCGGAAGTATTGTCCTGACTTTCAACCATGAAACCACCTAGTCAACTATAATTCGAAACTAAAGGAGAAAAAAATGATGTATCCCATGTGAAAAGAGATGGCAAAGTTTTTTGAAGAGCTAAAAGGAATAATATGGGTATGTTCAGCATATGCAATATAAAAGGAAGGAATTGGCAGCAACTCAACCCAAGTTAAATATTATATCCAATGTTATCTTGAATTTGCCAATTCAGGGATAAATTGTCTGAAGCCAAAACCTAATTGATAAACTCTGTCTGAGGCCTAGAGACCGAAAGCAAATATCACTTAGAAGTCAGCAAACCTATTTGATAAATATCAATCAGCGGATTACAACTCATAGCTATAAATGGTTATCAAACACAATGAGTACAACGTTAAGAATGTCAATGAAGGAAGCACCATATAAGGAGAAGCAAACATCAAGAACATAATGTTGCATTATTTTTATCCGATCTTTTCCCTGTAGCTAGTCAAACAATGCTGAGGAAAAGAGACTCACAGAGAGATCTAAAATTGAATTATAAGATCTTTCTGATTGCCTAATTGTGACTTGTTTCTATCTTCAAAAATTTTTAATTTAATTCCAATAAATTAGTAAATGGTAAAAAAATTTCAAAGTTGACGCATTTGCTTGATCTTTTTTGAAGCTTAAATAGATTCCCATGCTGCCTCGAATCCAACTTGTAATTCAATTTCAACGACTTAATATCACTACCATCAAAAACAACAACAATGTCTAATGACAATTATGCAGTCAATACACGTATCAAAAGGGAATTAAAACAAAGAACCAAGAAACCAGTGGCTGCTTACTCAACCAAGCGAAAAAGAACACATCTTGGGAGATCAGACACCGGGGTCGGAGCCGCAGAGCGTACCCTGGGACAAGGACCTCGACGAGGAGCTCCCGCAGGCATCGATCCCAAGCCTCGAGATCAACCGAGCCGAAGACACCGCGCTGTGGAGCGGCAGGAGGGTCCGAAGCGACCCCAATTCCCGATAAACACTGCCACTGCAAGAAAGAGAGATCAAAACCAATCAAAATCCGTCTCCGCAAATACCGGCAGAAGTAGGGTATGAGAGAGAGAGAGAGAGAGAGAGAGAGAGATTTGCCTTCGTGACGGAGGACAAGGAAGAGAGGAAGCATTCGGGGCGACAAAAGTACGCGCGGGTCTCTTGGCCGCGTGCTTGAGGAAGGAAAGAGCGGGTCTCGAGATCGAGCAACAGCGAGACGCCATGGCTGCTGAGCGTCGCGAGGCGGCTTAGTTTGCGGGAGCAAAACCCTACTTGTTGCTGAGACGGCAATTCCGAGACGGCCCAATAGACGAAAGGCCGGCTCAATTGATCGATCAGTCCAATTGCGAAAAGACCGGCTCACTAACTGGTGGACCGATTGAAACTGCAATCTCCAACTGGATTAAGTCAGCTCGAGGTTGGCACGAAGGATTGAAATATTGATCGAGAAAATAAACTAAATTAAAGGAAAATAAAATAAGGTCACTATGGAGGATTATGCTTGAATGTTTACAAGTATGGATAAGCTAAACAAAGCACACGGCTTGCTTCCTTTCCCTGAGCGGTGGCACCACCACCACTATCTCCTCTCCCACCACCACCATCTCTTCCATGCATCCGTTTTAAATGGTCAAACTAATTAGAATACTTAGACGATCCGAATCCAGGGATTAAAATAAGAGGTGCATCCAAGTGGGCGGATGAGACGAGTGCAAGCTTTTTCTGCTTTCTCGCTGCTGATGGGCCCTTCCTGCTCTTCTATATACATTCTTTATCATGCTGCTTGCTCTTCTATGCTTTTGATGCTGGTTATGACGTTGAGGGAAGGATTCTATATGGCGCTGTGGGCTCAGTCAATGTTGCTGCTGCACTGACACCATCTCATTTGTCCCCTTCATTCCTTGATTTCCGTCGTCTGCTTTCCCTTGAATCCCTCCTCCTCCTCCTCCTCCTCCTCCTCCTCCTCATCCAATACTCAGCTTTTGGATGGAAAAGAATGGTCGTGATGCCTCAGTCCTGAGCCAACCCTTCCTCCTCCAGCATTAGGAGGTATACATTTCTTGTAAGTATCTGGAGTTTGTAGATCTTTGTCATCTTGAAACAAGTGTGACCTCAATCTACTTTGCCGAGATCACCATTTAAGATGAACGACAAAGCTGACAGGTAGATTAATAAGCTTATATACCTTCAGCTGATGCAGAATCACACATGATCTGCTTGCTTTCGTGTAGCTTTTCTTCTCATATCTTACCAGCATCCATAGCGTGAGGCTGTAAATTTCATCGTTTTCTTACGCTCTGTTCGCACAAATCATGCACGCACAAGTGCATGCTGAGAGAAACGTGAAAGGGCGGGCGACAGACATTAATGGCAGACGCCGAGATGATTAATGGAAGATGACGTAAGAGAGCTACAGAAAAGGAGAGCCCCGCTGCGAGCTCCTGCACCCGAATGGCGCACACGCCATGGTGAAACCAAGCAGAGGTCACGCGTGTCCCCGCCAACTGGCAACATGTTAACACGAGCATGAGGCCTCTTCTTTGGCTCCCTGTTGTGATCTCATTGCCTCTCCATTCATTCTCTCAGTCGCGGGTAAGGCAAGGAAGAATGCTAATCTCCGGTTAAGAGCAATTGTGTTCGACTACTGCTACAAAAAAGCTTTCATGAGGTCTCAGCTGTTGTGTACCAACTCAAAGCCCCTGTCCGCCATTGCTATCCAAGCAAGCAGAGCCACCCATGTTGGCGATCATGGAGATGGGAGGCCTCCCTGCGCTCCCAGACCTCCCCTGAGCCAACTTTATGCCACACTGATATGACTAAAGGCCAAGTTTGCCAATCCCAGTCCCCATCAGAGACATACCCAAGGCATTACATTGGTTTCAGGCCTTCTCACCTGCCAATCTGAGCCCCCATGACAAGACTCCAATCACCATCATCCCCCAGTCCCATCACATTTCCCTGTCCACGCCACTCCCAGCCACAGCCACAGCCCTGGGTTTTCTCCCTCCACCTTTTCAGCATCCTTATCATCTTAATGATCCTGATCATAAAGCGCTCGGTCCATGTTTCAGATTCCAACTGGTCGGCACACCTTGTGTCATTTGGTGAGTTGATCAGCATGTGTTCGTAGCAAAGTTTTCTTGATGTGTCATTCTCTGCTGCAAACGCTAATCCACTCTGCAACTGTGTTACACATGAGACCCCTAAACCATACTTCCGGGGATGGGCAGCAGATGACGAGTTGAGACGCAGGCCATCACATCTAAACTGACAACAACGTCTTCTCCATTAAATCATGCATGTTTGTGGCTTTTAAGTCTGCAAGCACTGCTCTGTATTCACATGTATGATGATGACCATACACTTTTCTTGGTGATACGGGCTACGTTATCTCATACGTTACGGCTACGCCATACGATCGTACGTAGTCTTTTTCGACATGTATACGTGGAGTGCAGGGAGGAGGAAATCGAGGCGCATGCAAAAACCCTCATTATTCTGTCCTCTGTCACCCTCACAACCCTCCAAGCCATTGCTTTCTGCTTTCCTTCTTTCCATTTACATACCACTGATGCCAAAATATTTACAATTAGTCCTCAGTATATTTGCATTTTGATTTGTATAAAATAATATCCTAAATGTTAAATTCTATCAACAGAGTGGGACTCAACAATTGTCCTTGCCACAGGCAGGGGATCATGTCCAACAGCTCCTTTCATGACTTCCATGTTTCTTTCAGATGGAGGAAGATCCATGAAAATTCTTGACTCACCACTTTCTTATCTGAACTACAAAACATGCGGCTTCGATAAACTTGAAAGATTTAATCGCATAATTTTACATTCTAATTTTTGTTTGTAATGGTAATCTGAAGGTACATCTCGATGGAATTCTCATGCAATCTCAGCTCAACAAATGTAACGATGAACAGCCAGTGACTGCTACTCCTTTGTCTGTTCTCATGATTCATGTCAGAAACATTCCAATACAAATACACATGCATGAGTCATTCTTCATATTCTCTTACTCATTTAATTACCCTCCGATTGAAGGAAAATAAAAGATGATGTGACTCGGAACTATTTCTTTCAGTTCTTTGGGCTTTTCATTGATTAATACACAGTGATGCACATCTCTGAACAGATTAGAACACTGAGTATTGAGATTTTGACATGCGTGCCCCTGCATATGCTGCACTAATCACAAAAATGACAGGATGTAACAAATCATAAGTTCTCACATAGATCTAGCTTGTTCATGATGTATAAGCTTAATCTAAAATTAAGCTAGTTTTAATTGGCCAAAATGCTGTGATTATTATGTTACCCCTACGAATTTAGGGATTAATTTGAACAGCTCTCTTAGTTCTTAGTCATGAAAAGATAAAATAGTCAAAATTAATGAAAGGGGTATTATGGTAATTGGAACATATGTTTTTAACTGTGTGAAGTGGCAGCTCCATAAAATTCGCAGCTGAAACGAGGATATTTCCGTCAAAGAATTGTCGTCTTATATAAGCTCTTGCTCGCCTCCGTCACTCTGACATACTGTGATCTCGTCTCCAAGACGAAGCACCGCACAGAGAGAGAGAGACAGAGAGAGAGAGAGAGAGAAGAGTGATATCTGCGCAAATTTAGCCTTTCTTTCCTTCCTTCGACGAAGAAATCGAGTCGCGGAGAGCAGCCGCGGTCGGATTTCGATCAAAGATCGCACCTTTCCCTTCCTTTTTCTCATTGAAGTTCGAGATTTTGATGGTTCCAAGCCGTTGGGTGGTCGCCCTTTTCCTTTGGTTTCGTCGTCGGAAACCCTAACAAGGTGTCGCCAAGGGCGGGGACGGTCAGCCGATAAAGCCGCAGAAAGGGATTTGGTGCCTCGCCGTACGACCGCACCGATGGGTACTGTTGTGGGGTGAAGTGTAGATCGAGGGTTGCAGGTACGAGTCGCTGCCACCGGCCCGTCTTTTGCTTTCGCTGCCATTTATTGGGTTTGGCTGTTGGGAAAGACTGGATTTCGGCGCCGATCCGAGGAAAGGCTGCGGATCTTGGGTGATATCTCGCCTCAGCGCCTTTAATCGAGCTCCGGATGCCGAGAAATCGCCCCTAGCTGCTTTCTTTTCCCAGGGATTCTTGCAACCAAACGGCGAAACGACTCAGATCCGAGTCGGCGACTCGGCCGCGTCCCGCTAAGGGAGGCCTTGCCTCGGATCTCGAGGAAACCGGTAGTTCCGCAATCCTTCCTATTTTTAAATCTCTTTCGCAGCGTGCTAGCTTTGGAGAACGAGAGGACGCAGCTGGGAATTATGGCCGCAGGGCTTAAAGAACTAAAAAGGACGAGAAAGAAAGAAGATTCGGCAATATAAGAAGTGAAAGAGAAAGGAAAAAAATTGAAAGGAAAAGAAAAGGTTCGAAGAATCTTCAGAGGCATCTCATAAAGCCTTCAATTATTCGAGGCTTCACGCTCTTCTACTTGCTGCGCATGCCACTGTATCTGTTCAACGCTGGTCTCTGGTGTTGAGGTCTTTTAGGAGATCTTCAATCTCGAAAAGGCCCGGCCTTTCTTGTGCTTGCGGTTGTTGTGGTCTCTGCTTGAATTCCCGAGCTTTTGGTGATTAAAGTGGTGATTTTGTTGGGGGTTTGATGAAAGAGATTACTCCTTTTTGTTGCGAATGTTAAAAAGGGAAAAAAAGATCACAGATTTGGACTCTCTGCGACGTCTTGTATCGTCCCTGAAAAGGGTGCTAAATAACGGTGGCGAACCCTAGCCTTCGACTGTTGTTCCTTGAGATATGATAGCTCTAACTTCTTGCGAGGAAGGGAAGATGGGGATCGTCGACCCAGGAAAGTATGTCCGGTACACTCCGGAGCAGGTGGAAGCACTCGAGAGACTGTACCATGAGTGCCCGAAGCCAAGCTCAATGCGGCGGCAGCAGCTCATTAGGGAGTGCCCCATCCTGTCCAACATCGAGCCCAAGCAGATCAAGGTTTGGTTCCAGAACAGGAGGTAGCTAACAATTTCTTGCTTCTGATTTTATGCATTATGGTTGTACATATTATATGCTTTTATTCAAAACTTCTTGTGTTGTCTTTTCCTATTAGGTGCCGTGAGAAACAGCGAAAGGAAGCAGCACGACTTCAGGCTGTGAACAGGAAGCTGACGGCAATGAATAAGCTTTTGATGGAGGAAAATGACAGGTTGCAGAAGCAGGTGTCTCAGATGGTCTACGAGAATGGTTACTTCCGTCAGCAGACGCAAAATGTGTGCTTTATGAGAAGTTTCTCGTTGATGTTGCCATCCTACATTGGCTTCTAAATTGTGGTTTGGTTCTTTCAATTGAACAGGCTGCCTTAA